GCTTTAATTAATTATCATAAACTTAGCAAAATTAAAAGCTAATATTTCAAAGTTTGATTGGAATATTTTGAAAGTCCCAACAGGCCTTCCTGCTGAGTATTCAGAAATACCCACACAGCTCTCTACAGCCTAAGGCTGAGGTAATTAAAGAAGGAAAACTGGCACTTTTAAAAACAAGTACCTAACCATGACCAGCGGTTCAACTGGTTGGGTGTCATCCTGCAAAACGAAAGGCTCCAGGTTCAATAAGGCACATGCCTGGCTTGCAGGCTCAGTCCCCAGTTGGTGTGCATAGGAGAGGCAACCAATCAATGTTTCTCACTCACATCAATATTTCTCTCTTTCCTCCCTTCCCCTCTCTTAAAAAATAAAATCTTAAAAAAATCACTCTTCCCCCAAATGAAGTGGCTGAAGTCACCATGCCTAATCTCCCCACTCTGACTCCTCCCATCTCCAGCCTCCTTAAAAGTTGTCAAGAGCAAATGAAAAATCTTGTATCTTCTCTACAGTTATTACTAATTCTGTTTATGGGTATGCTCTGTTTGTGATATGTGTTTGTCTGTGTTTATATATGGTGTGTTTTCTGCCTCCAGATGATACTACTAGGTTGTAATATTTTATTGGCTTAAAGGAATCGAATATTTACATAAATTGAGAAATAGAAACTATACCAAGTGTCTTTCAGAACCAAATGATCTAGGAAAATATTTGCTATTAAAGCTAGTTTAAGTTTGGTTTAATTAAAGTGACAGGATTTTAGAGTTATTAATATTAAATATGATATTTTTATTTGCTTGGGTTTACAAAAATAGCTTATAATTGTTACATAATTTGTTAAGAAAATAACTTGGGTGATAATTGATTTTGAGATCACATAAAGATATTAAGAAATAATAAATAGATAAAAATAAAAGGGTTTTAGGTAAAACTTTTTAGCAATAATGCATACATATTTAAAAATAGTGTTCTCAATGTCTTAGGTAATTTGAAACCCTAAAGTTTTCTTGGCTAGATTGAATAATAGATGGTCACTGAATGTCTAGATTATGCAATACATTTCTTTGCATAAATCCAATAAGACTAGTTTTTAATTGTGGTTTTATTAACCAAGACTTTGACTGGAATGTCATGTCTAAAAGTGACATGCCTGGCCTCTGGATGTCATCAGAATGCCTTGAGGAACTGAGATTGACTTTTGAAGCTAACAAAAGCCCGCTACCAAATTAGCCTGATACCTTGCTTGGTTATGTGGTTCATGATAGTCTTTCTAGGTATGGAACAAAGGTTGCTTTCCTGAAAGATGGCAAGGACTAAACCTCACCACATTTTTGTGGGGACCTCAAGAGCTTGAGGAATTTAACCAAACGTATAGGTATTAAAGTAAAAGCCTGATGGTAACTGTGGCTTGGCTTCTATGCCCTGAGGGGCTGACTAAAAGCTCAATGTAACAATTTCTTGTGTAAGTTTCAACAAAGCAGATTTAAAGAGCCTATGTGATTAATTGCTATTCTTGTTGTGTTTATGCAAATAATCAGGCCAAATTAAAACTGGTCTTAATGCAGTCTCTTTGATGACAATAAGGGTGATCTTAAGAAGAAAAATTGTGTTTCAATGAAAATCACAATGCCCAGTTGTGGATATTGGCACTGTTTAATATCATCCCAGAAAAAGCATTGCAACTGGACATCTCAAATGACAGTCCTGTGAACTCAGAGACTGGTTTTTGATTATGTGCGTTAACCTTTGTGTTCTTCCTTCTGTTTTCATAGGGTGTATGCTTATGACCTCATTTGCCTTGTTGCTCATTTACGCAGTATAGGCCTCTCTTTAGAAGCCCATCTGCATTACCGCATCCTGAAATGAGACTCAATGGTTTTGCTGGGCTGACCTGTCAGGACTAGATTGTTGAGTTGGTGAAGTATGGGGCAGTCTATTGGCTTTGCTTAAAACTGCTCTCCTTTTCTGCCCTAATGGTTCAGAGAGAAAAGGTCCACAATTTTTCAGAGTGGGGAAATTTTAGAATATTCCTCTCAGCCTAATCTGAGTTAATTATGATAGACAAAAGAGTTTCAGGCAAGTGTGACAGACCTTGCACACTTTCCTCCAAGGAGGACACTCCTCCAGCGTAATCTGTGACACTGCAGAATTAGTCCTTGCCTTTGTCACCTTATTCTTACCCTTCACTAAACCTTTAGTTGCTATGGTTCTCCTCATTTTGAGACTATGTCTTTTAACCTTCTTGCCAAACTTATCGCCTCCAGAATACAAGGATGCCCGCTTGTCCTGTAGTGCCATCCTTTGGATATCACACATGCTGCTTTCTAGGGCAGACCAGCTGACCTGGACTGTGCAAGACCCTTCTCCCTCATGTGAAGTCTTCCCTCCATTACTGACCCCCCTTTACCTGTTGGATAGTAAAAAAATCTCTGGACCTGGGGACAGGTAAGACTATGGCCTTTGGCAGCAGGAAGTAATTGCAGAAGAATGAGACCTTCATCCATTTGCCCTTATAAGAAGACAAGAGTCCAGCGTTTTGAAGGAGAGAATTGATGCTGATAGCCTGGCCAGGCCAATGGGAGCAGGTATAAGACAGGGAACAGGAGGGGCCACCAGGGAAGTTTGAACTCTCCAAGGCAGTGGGTAGTCCTGCAGTGTTTGGATAACCAAGCTGGTGCCTTGCAAGTGCTCTGCCCCCAGTGCAGAGCTTCCTGTTCCTGGTGGCAGATCTCCTACCCCCAGGCAAGATGGAGGCAGGAAGAAATATTGCAGTAAGCACGTGATAGGCTAGCAAGATAATTGCATGGGGGAATACCCTCCTACCCTGTTCCAGGTGTGGGACCAGGGGAAGGCAGGCACATGTGCCATGGAGGTCAGAATGGCAGCAGGGGGAGGTGTGGGACTGGAGGAAACCTGTCACTCTAGCCTAGGGAAGAGAAGGGATTGGTCGAGGGGTGGACCCTTCTGGAGCATGTGGATTTGGGGAGGTTATTTGGGCATTATGAGAAAGGGCCTGTCCATCCCACATGGGAAACTCATATAAACCCAGGAAAACAATGAAAGCTCAGGAGGCTTGTGGCTGCTACTTGGGGCCTACACTTGGACAGTGTACTTGCTTGTTCTCTTCATGGGCCCCATGATTCCATGGCCTCCAGGAGGGAGCCTCTCTCTTTTGCTTACCTAGTAGAGCATTCACGGGCGCCTCTACCAGCAATATTGCCCAGGAATACAGAACCTTGCTGCTAGAAGCCCTATGGCCAACAGCAGTGCCAGCACCACATGCAGCCTCCAGGAGGAAGGACGGATCCCAAAACTGGACAACAGTCCATTTAGTCGTCTTGGGCTCCAAAGGACAGTACTTTAAAATGAAGCAGGAATTCTAGGCACTGCCTATAGTTTTTGTCTTGCTGGATATAGCTGGGCTTTGCCTGTGTTTTGTGGAAGAGATGAGCCTGATGAGCCTGGAGATGAGAGGTCCCCCATCCTTGCAGATCACTGAGCCTTTGAACAAAAACCCCATTCTTTTATCATCAACTTCAGCCTCTAAAATTTGCCTTTTTATGATGGCAGGCAGCTGAACCGCACTTTGGTTCAGTAACATGACCTTTTGATTCCCACAGCTTTGTGGGGCTTCCACATGTACATGTGGAATTAAAATTGTTTTCTCTTATTTATCTATCTTTTTATTACAGAGGGCTCTTAGCCAACAACCCAGAAGAACACAGAAAAAATTACCATCCTCCACTACACCAAAGGCCAAAATAGTTCTTCTTGGAAAACTGGAAAATATAAGCTTAGATCTCTCTAGGCTAGCAATGATGCGAAAGTGTTAGAGTACACAGTTAGTCAGGTAATTAACAAAAGAGGATGGAACAAATGGAACAGTCATCCTGGGGAGGAACTGTCGTAATTCTGCCAAATGGTGCAAAACATCCTGACTCGTAGGCTAGGCAGGAAAGCTAGCTTTACAGCCACCACAGAGGGTACCTGGCATCATTCAGCTGGGTTAACAAAGGGAGAGAGAAAAAGGTGAGAGGGATTCCTTTTACTGAGTGCATGCACAGTGAAGCCATGCTGGTGCAGGGGAGTTTCTTTTTTTTTTAATTTCTTTTTTTATTGTATTTTTTCATTACCATTTAATCCCCTTATATCCCCCTCCCCACTACAATTATCACACTGTTGCCCATGTCTATGAGTCCTTTTCCTTTTTGCTCAATCTCTCCACCCCTTACCCTCTCCCCTTAGCTGTCATTCTGATCTCTGTCTATGAGTCTGTCTCTATTTTGCAGATAATTTATTTTACTAAGTGCATGTGCAGTAGAAGCCACGGATGAAGCAAAACTGTGAGGCATGCTCAGGAGGAGCCAAAATGGTGACCATACAGGAGGGAGGGCCCTTGCCTGGGAAAGTCAGGGTAAGGGTTGGATTGGGGAAGGGCACAGGCCCTGGATAATCCGGGAGACTGGGGAAGCCCGCTTTTTCCTGAACCCAAGGAAATATATGGAAACTAGATGAAGAGGCCAGTGCACTCATCCCCTTCTTTCTCTTGGGCACATTTTTTAAAATTTTTATTTTTGCCTTCTTTTCTCCTAAATTTGAAGGGTCTCCACAGGACTTTCAACCAAGGCAGCAGTGATCAGCAGCAGATGACTCTCCTTTTCCCGCTGTAACTTCTTTTCCTGAGTTCATATAGTCACTACCTTATAGCCTGCCTGCTCTTTTTGCCTCTCTGGGCACATACTATCATTTTTCCCTTTTTGCTCTAATAAATATTGCCACTATCACTAAACTCCTCCTATGTGAGTGCCTCTGAAATTCTTTGCCTGTGACACTATGGCCTATTTCCAGACCATGCCAGGGCAGACCTGCCTCAGTCTTGGTCCCCCCTCTGAAAACAAAAGGGTTCTCAAACAATCCTATTCATGCTCATTAGAATACAGCAGAAAGTGGTTTTATTGCTGTTAATGCTGTACAACAAAGCTTTTCAAAAGTTCCAAGCTTAAAAATACGGAGGCCTGGGTCCTTCGTTGTCCTTTTCCTTCTTGCCATCTTTGAAACACAGAGCTTCAAAGCAGAAAAGAATCCTATTTCTGTTTGTCCCAAGTCTGGTCTGGTGCCCTTGGCACTCTAATTCAACCAATACCTTTTTTTCTTCTCCATGGGAACCAGAGAAATAAACAAAAGGTGGAAGAGATGACAAGAGAACTTGGAATGAGTAAGAGGAAAGTGATGAAAACTTTAAACAATCCCATCTAAGTGTACAGGAACCAAATGATAGGGAGGGTCACTCTCCTGACGAGGGTCACAGGCAATAATAAAGAACTTGTACTGGACAGCATCGTTGTAGTGGCAATCAGGATACTTCCCTGCAGTAAGATCGCAGTTAGTCATCTTAACAGGCTTTGGACTCTGGTGACAATTTTTCTGGCCATTTTTGCAGACAATATTGGGGAACTCACAGATCGCAGCCACGTTCTGGAAGGAGTCATGCAGAAAGGTGTTTTCAGGCTTACAGTGTTCAGTATATTTATTGACACCATGCATTGCCTTGTTGCATTGGAGAGGACTTGGATGTATATGCTGAATTTCAAACCAGTGAGCCTTGGTGAGATTCTTAGGCAAAGCATAAATTGGACACACTGGTCCGCATAGTCCTAGCAGCAGTAGGAGCTGAGGAAAGTGTTCTAGGAGATGTACCACCATTTTTTCTGTGTAGGAAGAATGAAGATAATGGTAGTAGTAAAAGCAATAAAAGAAAAATTATTATTTATAACCATTTAAATTTTTATTGTGCCATTTAATATGTCAAAGCTTTTTGTTTTTTCTAACCATCTTTCCCACTTGAGTCTTACAATTCTATGATGAACCTGAAGCTCAGTGAAGAGGAATATGCAATAAGGAGACCTTTCCTCTGATTGGCAGATCTAATCCTTCTCTTTCTCCTGTACTAGTGTGTTTGATGGCCCCGATGTCAGAAATCTTGTCTCTCCTCTCTTCCATCCTGAAACGTTTACCCTCCACCTTTTAGACTTAGGCCTCCCAGCCATCTTCACTGTCCTAGTCTCACTCGCCCTGAGGCTTCTCTTACCTGGTGTCCACACTGGGGCTTCAGCTGAGAGTAGAAGCAATAAACAGTTAGTCTCAGGCTCGGAGGCTTTTGCAGGCTGTTTTTTCCCCTGGCGAGTCACAGCTGCCTGCTTGCGTCGGAAGAGTTTCGAGCCCAAATGTAGGGCTTAGAACGTAAACTTCTTGTGGGCAGTGTGGATGAGATGCTAGATCTTCAAACTTTCTGTTTAAATAGTGTCAACATCAGTATAGACAGTAGAAGAATAAACTTATTTAAAGAAACAGGGTGACTCAAAACTGAGTTTTGAGGAACCGATCACTTCCTGATATGGGTGGAATGCTTCTTTCCTGATCTGAAGTTTCAGTTTCTATTAAGTTCTGTGACTTCTGTTTCTTAAGAGAAAATAGACCAAGTAAATCTGATATAGTGCCTGCCACATATCATTGGTAATGTTGTGAATTCTAACACAGATGTAAGTAAATTATTTATTTATGTATACATATATTAGATTATATATTGAGCTACTCAGATTCAGGAGCTTATGATCTAACGAAAGAGACAGCTAAACATCCAAATACATTATACATTAATAAACATAAATAGCAATTACAGCTCTGATGGAGGAAATGACAAGGGAGTGAGAGGAGGTAGTAGTGAGGAGGGAATCATTGGAGGGCGCAACACCTGAAATGAGTTTTGAGAATTAATTAGAAGTTAGGTGAAGAGAATGGTAAGTGCATCCCCGAGAGAACACTCTGTGTGAAGAGACCCATTGTAGGGTAAGCGGAGGCAATCTGACTTCCTCACCCAGGTGTCTGGGGAACTAAAATAAGTGGTGTTCTCATAGCCTTGAGACTGGGCCTCATAAGTATAGTACTCCTGAGCCTTGAGTGGGCTCACACGCACAGAATCTCACTATGTTACACAACCTACTGGCTCTCTGCTGGCTTTGTCTGTTTTCAGTATACAAGAGAGTTAGGGGCATGGGACAATGGCCATGTGATGGGCCACACACACAGGAGAGAACGGTGACAGGCAACATGCAGTGTAACACGTGGGGACATGCACCTTGCAGCATGTGTGGATTGCCTACCCTTGAATAAAGGCATGTCAGACATCCCCATAGCTCTGCAACTTCTCTTCCATCTCTATGAATCCTGTGAACCTGACCCACCTTGAAAGTTGGCAACACACCTGCACACATGAAGGAGAAGGGAAAATTTAGGGTGTTTGTCTATTGAATCTGTTCCTTCCTTTCCATTGGTACTACAGTTCCCTTATTCAGAACCTTACTGATTTGTGGAGAGTTTACAGGAAAGCCTCCTATATGGGCTCTCTACCTTTAGCTTTTTTCCCTTCCAACCCATTCTACATATTACTTGCAGATTAGTATCCTTTGAGCATAAGTATTATAGTGAAACACTCCTGTCTAATGCTTTTAATGGCTCAGATTATCTACAGGATAAAAAATGCCTGTTTATAGCAAAATTACAGAAGACATGGTTAATGTACCAAAATCAATTGCTTTCTTATATATCATCAAGGAACAATTGGAATTTGAAATTACAAAAGAAAAGACAAACATTTAGATTAGCATCAGAGAAAAATGGAATACTTAGGTATAAAGCTAATAAAATATGTACAAGATCACTATGAGGAAAGCTATAAAACTCTGATAGAAAAAATAAAAATAGGGTCAAGTAAATGGAGAGATATTTTTTGTTTATGCTGAAGGAAGCCAGACTTTGTCACCCCAAAATATGGCTCTTTGATATAAAAAGACATAAAAATCATTTCGTGTTGAAGGCAATTAAGAATCAGTGAGTGCAGACCCCCTCCCCATCCCTCTTTTCAACCTAAAGGCAGGAAATAAATTCTTTTACTGAAGATAGACTCTTAATCAGCCCAGAGAGGGCACCAGAGGAATCTGCAGACTAACTCTTATCTTTACCATTTGCTACCCATAGACCAAACCCCTTTGTGTTTTTTTTTTCCTGAAACGTATAAAAGGTTCCTGCTCTGGCCATTTGTTTGGGCCTTCATTCTCTGGTGAAAGCTCCCATGTACATGTAAAAATTTAATAAAATTTATATACTTTTTACCTATTGATCTGTCTTCATCAGTTTAATTTTCAGAACAAGCCAAGGACCCAAAGAAAGTCAAAGAAACTTTTTTCCACTATAATTCAGAGGAAGAATTTAGGTTTTGTAGTACGAGTGATACAATTTTGGGTCTATGGCATTTTCTTTCTATAAAAAATTTTTTTAAGATTTTACTTATACATTTTTTACAGAGAGGGAAAGGTAGGAAGAAATATCGACGTGCACAAGGAACACTGATCAGTTGCCTCTTGCATGCCTCCATCCATAAGTAATCTCCTTTGACCAGTATGGAATTTCCTGGTCAAGCCCCAGTAAAGTAATCTGTCCAGCAGGCTCTCTCCATCCTCCATAGAAAGAAGAGGCACTCTACATAATAAAGCCTTTTCCATTTTCTTCCCCCAAAGAAAAGATGTTCCAGCCCTCAAATAATCATTTCTTTTCCTTCATTAATAGCTTTCTTGCCCCACCCTATTTCCTATAAAACTTTCCATTTTGTACAACCCCTTAGAGCACATTCCTAGTTGCTAGGGGAGATGCTGCCCCATTCATGAATCACTTAGTAAAGCCAATTAGGTCTTCAAATTTACTCAGTTGAATTTTGTTTTTTAGCAGATGGGAGGGATTACAGTGAATTGGAACCTATAGGCTTCTCAATGGTCATAAAACTAAACTGAGTTATAAACATAGGGCAGTAGTAACAAGTAAGAAAGAAGTTTCAGTGGCTGAAATGTGTGTGGCATATTCCTGGAACTGTAATTGGCTAGGTATGACTGTATGACTGCTGTTAAGAGAAAAGTGAAGTGAATGATAGGAGATGAGCGTAGAGGAGTGGGCAGAAGTCAGATTATGGAGGGAATTATGTGCTTTCCTAAAGAGAGTTGATATTTCTTGTAGGATATGCACCTAGTATACATGGAAAATTCCAAAATTTGGATGGCTTTCATGATCATGAAAGATTACAAATGTTGTAGATAGAATTTATTCATTAGTGTTTTCTGGTTGCAAGCAATCCAAATCATTTTGAGCTAAATTAAGGGGGGGGAAATGGAATGGTGGTAGGAGTAGGGTGGGAATTTATTGAAAGAATCTGGGAGAGATTACATATGAAGAATATAGCAGAAGGATTGGTCTTTGGAAATATCTGGAACCCAGTAAAGGCTAGCTGGAGATCGGGGCCTAACTGGTATAAATCCACTTTAAATTTATATTTTCATCCTGCATAACTACTTGAAATTCAGACTCTGAAGACAGTGTACAGAAGAAAAAAATCTTCTCTTGTCCTGTCCTGTCTTCTTTCTTCTGTCCTTACAGGTTCTCAGCTACAGCCTCTGTAACAAAAGACACATTAACAAGAGAAAAACAAACAGAAATTATTAACAGGAACATCTCATAGTATACATGAGAAAAACTCAGAGATGAGTAACTCAAAGAGATGGAGAATTTTTATGAATTTATTTCAGCCGAACTGACAACATATGCTAGGAGAGCAGGATCTCAAATACTCTGGAGAATAACAGTTTAATTCATGCATTTGAAATTAAGGAAGGAAAGTAAGGAAGAGGTGGGAGAGGAAAAGGTGGGGATTGGATTACATGATAGTTAATAAAATTATGTGCCTTCTTAAGTGTGGTTACCGCTTATTTCAAAGGTAGATACACACACACACACACACACACACACACACACACACAAAAGGACAAGGCTTGCTTTGGTTACTTTTTACTGAAAAGTTAATGCCAAGGACTGACTTATCCACCTTGATCTGCCCAGTTAGGAATTTGTGATCGTATCACCTATGAGGTCCCTTTTCACGGAACCCCTTTTTTCATCCACAAAAGGGTAATTTATACTCGGCTTTCACAGCTCCTTTGTCTGCTCTTTCTCAAAACAACCCTTAAACCAAAGAGGTACACTTTAGGGTGGTCTATTCTGATCTTCCACAAGAGTGTCCAGGTAGCTTAGCTTGACTCTCATGACTGTCACTTGGCCCTGTAGATGAGATTGGGAACCTTGATGGACAGCCTCACCAAACCACACATGGAAAGGGAAAGTATTGTTCCACAACGGACGTGAATATGCAGCTATCCAAATGGGGCAAAGTGGATATGAGAAAGCTCAAAAAACACAGGCTATTTATATTAAATATATACTTAAGTCCATTTTCTTCTTATACTATTTCAAGCCACCATTTTAACCCTTTAATAAAAGCAACTTTTAAAGAGTTTTTTTAAATGAGGTATATGTGTACATTTATTGTAGGAGACCAGAAGAGATCACTTTAAAATATGACTGTAGGAGACCAGAATATGTTACCCCAAGATAGGCTACAACATTTTTTCTCTTTTACTGTATTATTTCCATTATCATTTATCCTCCCTACCCTCTTCCACCTCCACTCGCCCCTTTCCCATCCCCTGTATGCTACTACATTTGGAAGCAGTATTTATCAAGTGAGAAGAACAATCAGTATTCCCCATACATAAATTGATCATTGATGAAGACCTACTGGGTTAATCCTAATCTCTTGTGGGTATGGTTGGTATAGGCCATCATCTCCCAGGTGCACTGAAAAACTGCAAAGCTAAGGAGCTGCCCTTGGAACATGATTCATTGGCTACTCATTGAGGTTTGAGTTGCAGGAAGGTGTGCAGTCACCTAATTGAAAGTGTTGGTGCTGATAGAGGAACTCAAGAGTTAAAGATTTTAGCTTCAGTTATAGTTAATAGGCTTAAATAATTAATGCTGTGGAAGCTGTTATTCCAGAAACTGGAATACATGACCTACATGACTCCAGGAGTCACAAGCAATTCAACCTTTGTGCCCCAGGTGGTTTATCTGAGCTGTTGTGTTCCAAGGAGAAAACTTTCCCTGGATAAAGAACTGTGTATCAGCAGATAAAGAAATATTAGGAAAATTTCTCTGGGACTGCAACTTTTATCTGATTAACCTTTTCTCAAATCCCCTATCTACCCTTTCCTTCTTTCTGTAAGAAGGTCATCTTGAGATGAGATGTTAAGACAAATTTTAGGGTACATAATCCCAATGTCTTCTCAGATTGCCAGAATCTAAATAAAGCAGCCATAGATTCAATTCTTTTCTCTACTTACTGGTTCTGGTAGTGAGAGGCAGTACAAATGCCAGCTTTTCCAGTTTAAGTACCATGGATTTTTCTCTAGTTATTTCAAGGCTGGAGTCATTCAACATTGCATGAGGCTGAAGAAGAACACAAGTACTGTACTTTAATGTTTGGTATTTCTTCTCCCCATACGTGCCTTAGGCAAAATTATTTGAAGCAAATATTTCTCTTACTCTGTATCTTTCATGCTTATTTAACAAACAATTCTAGTAGACTTTACTTACTTATGTCCTTGACATTTCCTCCTCCAATTCACTTCTTCCCTCCAACAAAATTTGTCTTGAGCCTCATTCTTGAGAAGAGTTGCATTTTAAAGTTCTCTAATCCCACCCTATTTCTCTGCCAAGTGAAAATGATTATTATCAGATAAACTGGACTGTGCCGATATCTTGTATATCATGTATTGTTCTTCAGGAAACACAATGCTTAAGCCAGCTAAAATTCATTAGCTTTCTTAAAGATATTCTTAACAAACGAGTCTAGTAGGAACCTCTGTCATTCTATAGCTGATGAAAAAGGTTCTTTATAATTCTGGGAACATAGCTTTCATATAGATGATAGCCAACTGTATTTTTACATTAGAAATCTATATCTTCTGAAGCCAGGGAGAGGACAAGATTGATGGGCATTTGTGATTTTTGGCTTTGTTAAAGTCTAAATTAAAGTGCCACATCAAGGGATGGAAAAGGAAGAAAATCAATGTTGACCGAGCACTATGAGCTGGAACCATACTACATGTTATACTCAATCATCTCTGCCCACACCCCCCAATTTAAATGAAATTCAGCATGCTGATACAATCAATGCTTAGGTCACAACTTTTCCCCAGCTTAGTACATAAATATTTACATTCTTATCATACACATAGGCATATTACAAACATAAAACACTCATCTTAAACCTACACACAGTACAAATCACATCCAAGCATAATCTATATCATGCACACCTCTAACACTTATACCAATCACAACACATACTCTGCACATATAACATATATAGAAATCACACATATTGGAATGATATAATTTATTTAGGGAAGGAAAGATCATTCAGTATGTGTCAATATCAGGAAAATTCCTGGGTTAGTCAAAAAGAGATGCCATGTGAGCTGAATCTTAAAAAAAGAAAAAAAAAAGTAATGCAAGTAAATAAGGGCAGAAGGATATTCTAGACAGAATCAACATAGAGGAAGTCACGATATCAAAAGAACATGTGATACATCACTCTAAGTAGTCAAAAAACATTGACACATAAATGTGAAGTAGGGATCAGTAAGGGTTATTGATGTAGGCAGGCCTACCACCACTTAAGAAGCATTAACTCTAAAACCTGGAGGTGTGCATAGACTTTCTATTTGTTGATAACCTCTAACAATCGGGTGTCCTCTATGCTATCAACAAACCCATTTACGCCACAATGGAATTCAATGTAGCTATGGCTCCTGTGCTCTTTGTAGCTCTTTTTGTTTTTTCCTGGGTAGCACTTGAGTATTTTGAAGGGATACGGGGTCCATATATATACATTCCTGTAGCGATCTCTCCAGTTTCTGATGCATATATGCTCGATTTTGTACCATAAGGTATAGATGAAGATGTGATAGTTCTTGTCTTTTGGAGCTTCTATTTCTTTCATGAGATCTTTGCATCTGTACTCACTGAAATCCCAGCTTGTGCTCAGGTGGTGCTGTTTCATGAATTCCTTCCAGGAAAGCTTCTGGCTGTTTACAAGAAGCCCATATACAGAGAATAACAGGAACAAAAGAGAGCCTAGGACCTTTAGAGAGGATGACATCTTAGTCACCAGGGTCACCTGTGGGTCCACATGGAAGAAAGAGGAAAGCATTATTGTCCTAAGAGCTAAGCTCCACCTTATAATTCCTTCCCTGCCAATGTAGACATATAGGCCCGATTTTACTATTTGGTTCCAGAATAGAAGATAAGTCTCATTAGATAATAAAATTTATAAGAATGAAAATATGCTAGAGCCTGAGTGAGACGAGCACCAAGGAGTGCTTTCTCCTTTCCATCCTCTCTTCCACCCAAACCAAGGAGTGCTCTAGCTAGCTCTGTTTTAAAGTACAGATGGATTCTCATAAGAGAGTGTGTCTGAAAGAGAATGGTACTTTTAGTTTTATGTCTGTGAAGTAGAAAGTGTTGTCACTTTTTAAGGGAATGTAGAAGATAAGTAAAGACTTGGGAGACATTTTCCAAGCAGGAAAGCTTTAGTTCCCTGAAATATCAGGCTGCAATAAACTGACAGCAGATGGTGTTTATTTAAATCTTGACTTCCTCATAATACTTCCCTAAAGCCTGTGTGAAACATCACTTCTGACAACTCACTTCCTTTCTCAAAGCTTATTTCCCTAATTATTATCCTGATGAGTGCTCTTGATTTGCCATTAAAAATACCATCATAACTTCCTGTCAAGATGGAGACATAAGTAGACATGCTTCACTTCTTTGTGCAACCATAGAAAGAACTGCAACTAGATCTCAAAACAAATAACATCCAAATTTGTCAGAAAATGAGCTATATGGAAGTCTGTAACCAAGGGTTTAAAGAAGCCACATTCATCAACATCCAAATTTGTCAGAAAATGAGCTATATGGAAGTCTGTAACCAAGGGTTTAAAGAAGCCACATTCATCCAGATGGGTGCCTTTTCTATAACAGGCCAAGCTAGTAAGACAGAGAGTTAAAGCAACTCTCCCTAAAACATAGAAACCAACTCAGGGAGGCTGCCAAATTGAGGAGACAAAGAAATATGGCCCAAATGAAGGAACAGCACAGAACCCCAGGGGGAAAAAAAAAGCAATACAAAGATATCCAACCTATCAGATACAGAGTTCAAAATGCTGGTGATCAGGATGCTCAAAGAACTCGTTGAGTACTGCAACAACATAAAGGAAGGAATGAAAGTTACACTAAGTGAAATAAAGATAACTCTACAAGGAACCGTCAGTGGAGGGGAGGAAGCCAGGATTCAAATCAACAATTTGGAACATAAGAAAGGAATAAGCATTCAACCAGAACAGCAAAAAGAAAAAAAATTAGAAAAAACAAGGATTGGCTAAGGAGCATCTGGGACATCTCCAAACATACCAACATCCAAATCATAGGGATGCCAGAAGGAAAAGAGGAAGAGCAAGAAATTGAAAACTTATTTGAAAAAATAATGAAAGAAAACTTCCCTAATTTGGCAAGGGAAATTGACACACAAGTCCAGGAAGCACAGAGAATCCCAAAGAAATTGGATCCAAGGAGGTCCACACCAAGACACATCGTAATTAAATGACAAGGCTTAAATCAAGGAGAAAATCTTAAAAGCAGCAAGAGAAAGGCAGAGAGTTACCTAGAGAGGAGTTCCCACAAGAATATCAGCTCGTTTCTCAAAAGAAACTTACAGACAAGAAGGGACTGGCAAGAAGTATTCAAAGTGATGAAAAGCAAGGACCTACAACCTAGATTACTCTATCCAGCAAAGCTATCACTTCGAATTGAAGGACAGATAAAGTGCTTCCCAGGTAAGGTAAAGTTAAAGGAGTTCATCATCACCAAGCCCTTATTATATGAAATGTTGAAGGGACTTATTTAGGAAAAAGAAGATCAAAACTATGAACATTAAAATGACAACAAACTCACAACTATCAACAAATGAATCTAAAAAACAAAAACAAAAAACAAACTAAGCAAACAACTAGAACAGGAAAAGCATCACAGAAATGGAGATCACATGGAGGGGTTATCAGCCGCGAGGAGGAAGGAGTAGAGTGGGGGAAAAGGCACAGGGATTAAGAAGCGTAAATGGTAGGTACAAAATATTAGGGGGATGTTAAGAATAGTACAGGAAATGGAGAAGGCAAAGAACTTATATGCACGACCCATGAACATGAACTAAGGGAAGGGGGTTGCTGGAGGGAAGTGGGGTACAGGGCAGAGGAGGGCAAAGGGGGAAAATTGAGTTACCTGTAATAGCATAATTAATAAAATATATATTTTTAAAAAAGAATACCATCATAAAGAAATTCCAGTTTTGAGGTATTCTTTTTTAAAAAGTTTTACTTATTTACTTTTAGATGGAGAGAGGGAGGGAGAAAGAGAGGGAGAGAAACATCAATGTGTGGTTACCTCTCTCATGCCCCTTATTAGGGATCTGGCCTGCAACCCAGGCACATGCCCTGACTGGGAATTGAACCAGCACTTTCTGCTTCGCAGACTGGCACTCAATCCACTGAGCCACACCCAGCCAGTGCCAATTTTGAGATATTCTAACCAACCAAGTACCAAGATTGAAACTGCCCTCACAGGAGCTACTCTGGTCAAAATCAAGGCTTAGAGATGTTTGAGAAAGCCTCCACTTTAAATCAGCTCTCTGTCCTCAGTTACCATGAGGAGTCACCTGGCCCTACAGAAACTCTAACCCAATTCTCATCTCTCTCAGAAATGATATGCTCAAATGAGCCTAATAATAGCTTCCTTACAGACCTGTAAGAGTCTAATAAGATTTGTGTGAGAGCAATTTTGAGGGTCTGAAGTGCTAAACCAGGTACAGAACAAGGAATAGGCACATGCTCATTTGTGGCACCCTATCCCTAGCTCAAAAAGCCAGAACAAAGGAAGACCAGCATTCAAGCTGCTCCAATGTATTAAGCTTGAAAAGATTGGGGAGTATGTGGGGTGTGTATGAGTGAGATTAATGCTAAGTTGAATTCAGGTCTTTGCTTTTTACAAGTTGGATCATTTTGCATTTTCCACTCTACCATCTAGAAGTTCAATCAAACCCCTTCCAGTGTTTCTGGGCCTTTCCCCCCCCAAACAACCTGAGTACCAGCCCTTTGGACTCTAACTTGCCCTATTCAGATTCAATACTCACGTCACGTCGCAGTGGGGATCAGTATGTGAATCTACAGAGTGGAGTCTGTGTCCTTTCTCTTTTCTTAGAGCTAAGAAGTCTGCAGCAGTAAAGAAAGGAATAGATGTGGAGCTGCAGTGTTCCAACTGACTGGCAGTGTGGTGGGGGAGAGGGGCAGCCTCACTGTGTGAACCTGTTTCTCTATCTTCTCATCTAGAACACTTGGGTTCACTCTGAGATTAGCCTGGAGCAAAGGTATCCTACATCAAAAGCAGTCTTCTGGATTCAAAGGAATGGCAAGGCCCTGGGGGCAGGTGTTAAAGAACAAAATTCAGCCAAGTAAATTTGAAGAGCTAATTGGCTTTATTAAGCAGTTCAGGAATCTGGCAGCATCCCATCTAGCAACTAGAAAGGTGCTTTGATGAGTTGTACAAAATGGAACGTTTTTATAGGCAGAAAAAGAATGGAACAAAGAAGTTTAAAAAGTAGATTATTTTAAGCAAGCTCACCTTCATTTAGGGGAAGGCAGGGGAACTTAACAGGCAGATTACTTCACCAGTGCTGATCAGGAAACTTCCAGATTGATTGGTTTAAAATTTCACCTTTGAAAAAGGCTGAAACTGAAATTTGATTAGTTACTAAGTTTTAGTTTGGTGACATGGCTCGGCCAAAGTGACTCACAATTTTACTTACGATCTTTCATGCTTATGACTTTTTTGACTTTACAATGATGCAAAAGCAATAGGCATTCAGTAGAAACTGGCTGAGCTAAGCTATGGTGTTCAGTAGTGTTAAAAAGAATGAAGCCCTTGCCCTGGCTGGGTGGCTCAGTTGGTTGGAGCATCATCCTGTGCACTAAAAGGTTGTAGGTTTGATTCCCTGTCAGAGTCCCTAGTCCGGGCATGTACAGGAGACAACCAATTGGTGTTTCTCTTTCACATTGATGTTTCTCGCTAAAAAAGAAAAAAAAAGAAAAAAGAAAAAAATAAGAAGTCAATAAACATATCCTCAGGTGAGGATTAAAAATAAACAAATAAAAAGAACAGAGTCCAAAACAGTTGAAAATGGAATCACTTTTGGTAACCATTTGAGGTAATAGATATGTTAATTAGCTTGATTGCAGTGACTATGTAACAATGCATATGTGTACTGAATCAGGTTGCACATCTTAAATATAAACAATGTGTATCTGCTGTAATTCAAATGTTTTCAGTTTAGTCATTTCACATACAAACACACATTCTATCTCATACACATGCACATCTTCCTTTTTTAGTTGCTGGTATCCATACATCTCTGTTACCCAATTTGTTTAAAATATAATTGTGCCTCGGTACTTGTTAATTTGTTCCTGAACTCATGACAAGTACTGAGCAAGCACTGAGCGCTGAAACATTTTTTTCTCATCAAAATGCAACATGTACAGGGCCTGACGAGTTCTGAAGCTGATGAGTACCGAGGTATGGCTGTATTGAAAGGGAAGGGTATGAGAATAGTCTTTAGTAAATAACACAAATGTTTCTGTGTCATGTTCATCAAACAGATAGGCTTTAGTCATGGACCAGAGTTTCTGAGGATATTAAGGTGTTGGTGCATGTTTACAAACAAGAGAAGAATTAAAAGAGGATATGGGGAATAATTCCCCACATAAGCCATAGCACAGTCTTCACACATACTGCAGTTTGAGTTCTTTATTACAAGGAAAATATGAAAAAATCTTTCATTCATGAAGAGTGAATGAGTCTTAATGATCTAGTACATTGTTAATACTCTGACTTACTACAGTGATTCAAAAGTTTGGGAAGAGAAAAAGAAAATTCCTTGTATCATTTCTTGGTATTTTTTAAAATTGTTGTTTAGTTACAGTTATCCCGCATCATTTCTTGATCTTATTAGACCCAAACATAACAGGGTTGCCAAATTAAACAGAAAGAGCTCTTACTTTGCCAGTACATATTTGCAAAATTTTAATGCTTCCCCCAACAGTTGACTTTTGGGACTATCAAAAAACAGATACTTTATAACACTCCTAGTGATGAAGTAGAAAAAGTCCTGGATTAGTAGCCAGTTGAAGTGGATTTTTTGCTTCAGCTTTTCCACTAACTTCATGGTCTTCAGCAAATCCCTTAACGTTGGGATCCTATGCATAACAACATCAGCATCTCAGGGGTGCTGTGGCATTAAAATGAGATTACTAAGGTGAAAGCACCTTGAATCCATGAAATGCTATAGAAATACATATAATGACTAAATTCCAGGAGATAGGCTCGGAGAGAGCTATGCTGACCAGTATTATAAAAAGAAGCAGAAGAGTTTACGGAAAAGTTTAATACAGAAAAGTCCAGTCTCATTTTAGGTTTATGTCTCCATTTCTCTTTGATGCATTTATCAGAATAGGTTACATAAAGAAACAGAAGTAGATATAAGCTGAGTAGGCAGAGACTGGGAAAGCTCAAGTACATTACTCATTGTTATTCAAGGAGTAAGTTAAAGGTCAACCACTGGGTCATCACCCCTGCAGGGTAGCATCTATCTGTCAAAGTGCACAGGCACCTCTGGGTCACCCTCACAGGCAATGACAACACGCCTAGTGCTAGTCATGGCCCTATATCTGCAGTTGGGGGCCCTGGAACCTCCTGTCTCCCTGCAGTCTGTGACTTGCATTACACCCTCATGGCAGTTCCTCTTGCCATTCTTGCACGGGATATTGTTGGTGCTGCAGATACTACGAATGTTCCAGATGTTTTCATGGATGAAGGTGTTGACGGGCTTGCAATGATGTGAAGTCATCTTCCGTCTTTGCATCATGATGTTGCAGTAGTGATCGTTGCCACCTACCCCGTGAGGGTCTACATGTTGCCGCAGGAATCGTTGGTACATGAGACCCTGGCCGTAGGAGGGCTGCACCAGCCCCAGCCCCAGCAGGGTCAGCAGCAAGAGCAGAAGCAATGAAAGGGTCTTCTGGAGAGCCATCACTGCCTTGGAGATGCCTAGAGAGAAACCGAGGGGAAGGAGAAAGGAAGGTAATAAATGGGCATCAGAGACAGGTGTCGAGAATGGCAAGCACTTTCCTCCCCACTCTTCTCTTCTCACAATTTTTCTCACCACTGCTCCCCCAAGAGTGAAAAATTTGCAAACATGACCTTCTCTGAAAGAAGGAGCCTTTCTCTTTTGTAGAGAGAAGTTGCTGTAGCCAGCACAAAGTCTCAGGGCAGAGAATGACAGGGTAGATGCCAGGTATATATGTCCTGTATGGTCAAGGTGTGAAAAGGGAGAAAAGGCAGATCTAAATAAAAATGGAGGTGTCTGTCACTTGAGGAAGTTCTCCAGTCGTGTGATCTTTGGAGAGTGGTTGGTTGCCTGGAGACTCCGATTCCCAAAATTTTGGATAGACTGAGGATGTGTCAAGGAAAGTTTATAAACTGATTTTAATTCCTAGCATTTGGGAATTGAGAGAGGTACAGAAAAAAGGATAGAGTGATGCTTAGGTTTAGCCTATCCTCTCATGTGTCTATTCTTTTTCTAAACTAAAAGATTTTTTTCAACTATAGTTTATGTATAATATTACATTAGCTTCCTGTGTACAACATAGTGATTAGACATGTATATACCTTATGAAGTGATCATCCCGGTAAGTCTAGTGTCCACCTGACACCATACATAGTTATCACAATTTTTTTCCCCTATATTCCCTATGCTTACTTGATGTCCCCATGACTATTTTCAAAACTGGCCATTTGTACTTCTTGATTCCTTCACCTTTTTCACACAAGTGGCTATTCTTCTAATGGTATTAAAATCAGGTCTGTTTGGAAATCTAGCTAATCCTGTAAAAAACAAAGTCTAAAAGAGAGTACCCAACCAGTTTTGAAGACAGTAAATACCTGTTGAATGAACTAATAAACAAAATGAGTGAGCTAATAAATACGTGAAATAAAATGGGTATAGAGAATGGAGGTGTTTCCCAGGCCTGTGGAACTGATTTTTTAAAATTATAAAAACAAAACAAAACAAATCTCACCCTGGATGGTATGGCTCAGTGGACTGAGCACCAGCTTGTAAACCAAAGGGTTGCTGGTTCGATTCCTAGTCAGGGCATATGCCTGGGTTGCAGGCCAGGTTCCCAGTAGGGGGGCAAGCAAGAGGCAACCACACATTGATGTTTCTCTCCCTCTCATTCTCCCTCCCTTCCCTTCTCTCTAAAAATAAATAAATAAAATCTTTTTAAAAAATCTCAACAACACAATCTCCACAAAAGAGGACTGGGACTGTGTCTTTTTTCCTTGCTGTTTCTATACACAACCTGAAAACTAGGCCCTGGTGATATATTCCATTGTTGTGCATCTATCCGTGACGCTCTGCCTCAGCTGTTGGTTGTTGTCTGTCTTCTCTGGCTGCAGAATCATTTAGTTGGCACTTTTGGCAGTGGAAAATAAGCATGTCTTACAGAGTTAGAAAATGAACAAACAAAAACTGTCAGAGCCACAACAAAGAAAGCATTGTCCTAGTAGGTGTGTCCAACGGGCATCTCTGGGCCACACTGGGAGAAGAGGAGTTGTCTTGGGCCACACATTAAATACATTGTGACATGTAATCACACAAAAAAACTTCATAATGTTTTAAGTAAATTTATGATGTTGTGTTGGGCTGCATTCATCGTCAGTCTGGGATATATGCGGCCTGTGGGCTGCGGGTTGGACCCCTGCTTTGAGAATGTTGCTTTAGTTGACAGAGTAAAGGAAGGAATCCTACCTGACTCTAAAATCTGTGCTTTTCTACGTCTTCTACTGTCTCAGTCATTCCACTCCCCAAAGATTCAGGATATTAAAGATTTCTTATGTTCAGAGTTGCTTCTTTCTAGCAACAGAGTTTAATCAGGGTGGAACAGAATGAGAGTGGAAGAGGGAATCAGCAACACTAACTAGCTAGATGCTGCCATCTGGCGGTCACTCCTGGTTTTGGCACGAACTAATGATCTGTGAACTTGACTCTGGCAATGAGGCAGGGCTGACTCACTATAGCAGCAATTTTCAACCTTTTTCATCTCATGGCACACATAAACTAATTACTAAAATTCTGTAACACACCAAAAAATTTTTGCCAATCTGACAAAAAGTATGTATAATTTTGATTTGTTCACATGGGACGGCTATTGTGTTGGCTCTTGTCTTTCTTTTTTTTTGGACAGTCTAAGGCAAAAGAGGTCAGCGTCCCTGACTAAATACCATGTTATAAAAATTCTTGCAGCACACCAGTTGAAAACTGCTGCACTTGAGCAAAGAAAAATCATTTCTGGTTCAACAGAAAGTGGGGGAGGAAATCAAAATAGAAAGAACTATTTTTTGAGAGTCATATAGGCCTATTTCTACATACGCAATCCAAGGGCTGGCCTCAGTTGAACTCCTGGTTTGATGTATATGGGCACTACTGTCCTTTTTTTTCAAAGATGTTGCTTCATGATGGCAGATCACACTGTCTGAGTGACTGAAATGGCTCATGAGGGACATGCATACAAGTATCAATCATAACATTATTCTTTTAAATGCTTCCTCCTATATTCACAGCCACTCTTGCTTATGCATAGGACACTCAAAAGGTCTGTCACATTCCAGTGCCTGCAGCTGTAGATATGAGATATGGAGTTAGGAAGAGAGAGAAGCAAATGGTGTAGAAAGAAGAGCAGCAAGGAGAAATGATGCTTGATTTACTCCTCACCCCAAGACTAATGGATAGAACTTCTGAAGGTACACTTAGCACTTGGGCAATAGCTTCATCACAACAATGTGCTTGGGTTGTTTTTCCCAAATATAATTTTGCATGGTTTTGTCTACTTTTTCTCATCCTGTTTCCTTGTATCCAAGATATGATTTAGAAAGATAACTGGCTACAGAGAGGACCTAAATTATTCATGCAAGAGCAAATCCACAGCCTCAGCCACACCAGTCAACTGACTTAACAAGACATGGACAAATATTTGTGTACAAAAGTCCAATGTGGCCACAACAGGTATATCTCAAGGCTCTAGGTACAACACAAAATGAAATTATACCCAAACCATCCCAACACATATTTTTCGGTCAGAGATTGCCCCAAAGTCTTTCTCCACTGTACCACACTGGTTCTCAGTAAGAACTTCTTTTGACACTACGATTGCAAAGACTTAGTTCTGCCACATAACTGTATGATCTTGGGAAAATTAACCTGTCTCAACATATTTCCTCATAAGAAAGTGAGTATAATAATATATCTTAGGGATGTTATAAAGAATAAATGATAAAGTGAATGTTAAGTGCGTATCACAATGCCTAGAACACAGTAAATACTCAGTAAATGTTGGCAATTATCATTTTTACAATTTCCATTTTTCTTGGTTTCGTTTGCTTCCTTCAATCTAGATAAAATAATGAGTGACTGCACCAAGTCGCATATATTATTGCTCTCCTCCTCTTTATTTTGTAGAGTACCTGCATTCCTTCAAAATCAGAAGGCTGTTTTTAAGCTGAAATATCTCAGCTACTAGAATTTATATTGTGTCCCTACAGCAGATTTTTCTCTTCACATTTGAGTGGAATTTTCTTCCTTGCATATCACCGTTCTTGAAAGGACTTGGCATTTTACAGTTTTTCTTCCCTTTTCCTTGAAGAAGTCAACAAAGCATAGCTGACCAGGACTTCAGTTCCTCAAATAATTCACTTGAGATAAAAACTGACTTGCCTGTCACATTACATAGTACATTTCATTCTTTTGATTGTGAAAGAACAAGAAACCCAGAGCAAGAAGTATTAGGATTGGCTACCCAGCTGCTAGTTCCATCAGCAGGGCAGGAAGCAACCCCATCCCACTGCCCCGTGGTTTGCCCTAACACCAGAGCAGAGTATGCAATGATAATACTCTAAGCAGATGTTTGGAGAAGACGTGTTTTCACGGCCATGGCCTACTCAATATAATAATGGCCCATACCTTTGGCCTTCCCCATCAAGACCTTGAGTGGGTCAATGATCTGTATGGAAGTCACCTTGCCTCATATCAAGGAGTTGGTACTGGTTGGAGAAGCTGGGAAAAGGGTCCCAAATATTCTACCAAAAACTGTAACTTTTTCACTTCTTAAGAGGTTTTTGAGATATTACAGTAAGGCAAATTTTCTAGTTAGAGAGGTTTGGAAAACTCTTGTCCCTACTTTCTTAGGAAATGATAGTGATTTCAATTTTGGAATAGATTTACTCAAGGTAGAAAGATTCATGTGCTGAGTGTGCACCAGTAACCTACTTTTCCATCTCTTCTTCCATAAATACTTTCAGTGATGTTGGCTCCCAGGTGGCACCTGGACACTCAAACATAACCTGAGTGGGTTGTTTTTTTTTTTAATTTTCACCTGAGGAGATTTTTTTTTTTCATTGCTTTTAGAGAGAGGAAAGGAGAGAGAGAAACATTGATGTAAGAGAAAAGCATCCCATACACCCCTGGAGCGGGAACCAAACCTGCAACTTAGGTATGTGCCCTAGATACGTGTTCTTTTGGTTACAGGACAATGCTCCAATCAACTGAGCCACACCAGCAAGGGCTATAACCTGGGTTTTGAGGAAGCAAGGCTTTTGGCCCATTTCAGGGCAATGCAGACAGCAGGAGAGGCCACCATTGGGAATACTGTGACCACCACAGTCATAGATTCACAGGACAGCAAAACTAGTGATTTATAACTGTAATTTATTAACAACTACTTTCCAAATAAAATATCCAGGCACTTGTTGATAGAAATTAGGTAACAGCAAGTTAAGCACTAAATCTGTGAATTAATTAGTATATTTCATAAAGAGAGTGTCTGTTTACCTAAGTTTGTGTTTACTTAAAAACAAATCTATTTGACGAAGAATAAGGGATAAGCTTGGAATCTTTCCATAAATTCCCAAAGACCTCACTCTTGCCAGACATCAGTTGATAAAGTAAAAGATTAAAGAGAAAATAATGTAATCAGTTTTTGTCTCTACCTAAAATAACCATGAGAATAGCCTGGGAGCAGTCTATTCAAAGCAACTCAAAATCACCTCCTGCCTAAGATAAGGGGTAGGTATAGGAATGAATTTTGGTGTTTATATAGGATTGTGTGTGGATGATGGGGAGAGGGAGAACGATATTAATTAATCTGTTGGTATTCAGTCTTAAACTCTACTCCTCAAAGTTTAGCATTTATAAAAGTAATATTGGCTTATTTGGCATCAAAAAACAATTTGCCCCTCCTGAAAGTTCTGCTTAGCAGCCATGAGCAGTGGAATTTTCCTTGCTCTCTCTGTAAGATGTATTTAACATCCTTACATTCACAGAATGGTAAAGTCTACCTCTCTAAAGACTGAGAAGGGAAGAAAGGCATTTGTATTCCATCCAATCCTCTCAGGGGGCCATTGAGAAAATGGGGGAAAGTCAGTAGGCCAAGAATTGGTGAGACTTTGATTCTTACTGATTTCAGAGTCATTTTTATTTATTAACATATTATAAAACTGAAAACAGAAGATCCAGGCAGTTCATCTCCTGGGCCCAAGGCAGTGAACGTTGCCACCACTGTCCTGCAGTGTGTAGGAGAAATGCAAGGAATGGACAGGAGAGCCAACTCTGGGCCAGTGGCCTGCTGGTTATGGATGGAAAAAGGACTCATTAAAGGGGACAGGCAAGCCATGTTCACAGGCAACAAAAATGTCCCTGAACCCTGCTGTGGCTCTGTACTGGCAGGGAGGCTGGGAGGAATGTCTTACGTGTTTGCAAGTGGCGACCTGGAAAGATGATATGCTTTTTCTGAAGGTTTCTCTGTAAGGTTCCCCATTCTTATCTTCATAGATGGCCCTGATATTTTTCTTGGTGCCAGGAATATAGGTGTTGATGTCTTTGCAGGGTGAAACCAGGCCTCATCTCACTATCTTGATTTCTCAGTATCTGTCACCCTGGCCACTTGGTTGGAGATCAGAGTGCTGGGTCAGGAAGGCCTGAACCTGTAGTCATTCTGAGCCAGGGTGGGTGGGGTCAGACCCAGACCCAGCATGAAGACCAACAACAGGGGACCCAGGCCCATTATCAATCATCTTTTCCAACAGAGGCTCCTGCCAAGGGCCAAAGGAGGTATGGTAGGTCATATTAGGCTAAAAGGACAGAGACTACTCTCTCTGGCAGGACGTCATGAGTCAGGTATCCCCAGTCACCTAATTTTACCTTTTCTCTTCTCCGTTAATCTCATATTTCTTGTCAATACATTCCTTTAGAAAAGCAATCCAAGCTTCCAGAACACAGCTTCCAGCCCCCACCATTCTGTCCTATCACTTAAGACTCACTGAGTACTTACCTTTCTATCAGTCATAACATTACAATATCCATTCATACTCTCTAAATCAGTTATTAATTAACTTAATAACAAACATTATATAAGTCCCTCCCTACTGGATACCAGACACTGTTAGATCCTGGAACACATAAAGACTATTAAGACACACCAAATGCCTCCCTAAAAGGAGACGTAGCATCCATGGGGAAGGGACAGGTGCTCCAGTTCACTGAGATGAGACAGAAAGTTAGGTGGTGAGAGCTATGAAGAAGAGGGACTTTTAGGGAAAGCTGAGCCCAGGGAAGGGTCAATCTGAAGATTGTTGAAGACAAGATTCCAGGTATTCAAGTCAGTAAGTCAATTGGCTATGAGGATAGTGGTTGTTATCCTGAGGTGAAGGAAGATAGACCTAATTCCTCAAGAATGAGGTGGTTTGTGGCCAAATGTGCAATTATAATATACTATTTTTAAAAAACAGAGGAGCATAGAAGAATTGATGTAAAGCTTGGAAGTAGGTGTGGCGTCAACTTTTACAGGGGACTGAAGGAAGAGGAATTCAAGCTTATTCTTAGGAACTTCTCACATTGGGAACAATATAGATTATGTTCAGAGAATATTTTCTAGTTTCCCCTGAAAATATACACAGACTGTTACACAATAGGCAAATGATGTTACTATGTGATTAAAAAAACAAATAAAACAACATCCTTGGAAATTTCCATCCAGTCAAAATCCTAATAATTTGCTGTTATGATTTAACACCTTCCTCAAAAGAAGAATAAGGAAGAGAAGAAGAGAAGTGCTGCCGTCATCCCTCGAGAGCTTTGGATCTGAAATGCAGAACCCACACCTCCCAGCGGTAGTGTGTCACAGACACTCAAACACACCCAATGACAGGTAATTAAAATATTGTAGAATTAAACAAGTATAGATTAAAACAAAATAGAAAACAAATTTCTTATGAGCTTTAAAATTGTATGACTTAAAAAATTTGAAGATTTGAGAATTGGAAAATATTTGGTGTTTGTAGCAAGTAGTTTCTGACTATAATTCTTGTACTTTGAAGAAAATTTTAAAGAACATTCAGAGCCTTTAAAAACCATCATAGTTCTACCCCACATTATATCAAATGTGTGTGAATGTTCCCCCATCTAATAATAAAAATAATTTTCCACTATAAGTTTGAAACTGAGTTTTATAATTTTGTTTTTCAAATTGTTTGTCCATGAGTGTCTCATTTACTTTCTGACTGTCTACGATTTTTAGCAATCATCACATATATTGAGAAATTCTTACAAGGGAAGAAAATTTGACCTTCACGTTATGCCTAAATGTAATGTAATTCATATAAATCCTAAATTTAGAAACAAATGGCACGTTTTCATAAATATTATATTATTTTTATTTTGTTCCTTTCTTGTGTGTAAGTCAATAAATGTTATTATCATGTCAAATATTTTTATAGCACTTAAAGATGCCACAAGTTCCAGCACTAAGCCTGTAGTTTTACTTAACAGCCCTGGGAGTGTGACTGTCAATGTAGAAAGACCAGGAAATCCAGGGTTCTGATGGTTATATGGGAAGGCCTGTGACAGAGTGAGCAACGTGAGCACTCTTTCTCATCATAATTTGGCACTAATCCACCTCGTTTCATAATAACTATAGAAAAATTTGCCACACTGCTGAGAAATACTGAAATATACAACAGAAAATGGTTGATTATTGCACAATAGTGAAATAAATAGCAGCTAAATAAATTCCATTAAAACCCAAATTTTAATTTATAATAAAATCAAGTGAAAACATGTTCTTGGGAGTTTAGCAAGAAAGTGGGACATGACCCCAGAGGGAAGAGCTAATGCTAAAAGAATAACAAGTATTCATACTCGCCACGGTTTCAACACAGCTGCTGGCCTGCAGAGCTCCCCACTTGCCAAACTCTACATTTACACTGTGATTTTTAGTCTTCTGGATGTGTTTTCTCTTTCTAGTTTTTTGGAAGACCTCATTAAAGTTTTATTGATTGGGATTCAATTCGGTCTCTTGCTCTGTGATGAACAAATATTGCTTTCTAATGTCAAAAGCAATTGTAAAATTGCAGGCTCCCAAGATGGAACAAACAGGACCTTAGAGGTCAGAGTCAACACCTGTCTGTCTGGAATTCAACATCAGGAAGTAGAATCAGAGCTGGTAGTAGCCAAAAGAGCCAGTAGGTGGCAGTGGTGGATAGAACTGTTGCCAACCTATTCCATGCTGGAACGGGGAACCTGTGTCCTTTTAGGAGGTGCCAGTGCTGTACAGGTTGTGGGGATGTTTATTGTTCACAGAAGGGAGTCTGAGCTGGAAGGCCTGTCTAGAGTTTCTGTCCAAACACTCTTTGCCTTAGATATTAAGACCAATGACACCCCACTAGATACAAGTGTCAAAGCAAAAGTCTCAAAGCTCAGGATCTGCCTACAAGGATATCAAAAACCAGATAGACCTGTTGTCAGCTTTCATGGGTGCCATTTCCAAGTCTTCATCCATGTGTTCTTGGGCAAACAATTACCTGTTCACTTGTCAGTGTTTCCTACCGGTGTATAAGTTACAGGAAGGCAGAGCCCATATTCCATATTCTTCACTTTGAATCACAGTGCGTGCCTCACAGTAGACGCTCAGTATATTTTTTAAATGATTCACTTCATTCTCCTCTCCAGGATTAAGTTTGTGCATCTATGAAATGAGAGAGTTCATTCTAATGTCTGAAATTCCATGGTTCTCATTAAGCATAAGAAAGTCTTTTCTAGTTTTACTAGCAAGAGTCAAGTGGAACTAAAGAGACAAGTTTGTATAAGTTTAGTTGGTGGCAGGAGGCACCAAGTGAAAGAAACAGATGATAAGAAGGCCTGTGACCCAATCTCACTGAGTGGTATCATTCCTTAAGGCTCAGCGTATAAGCCAAGCCCACAGACCAGCTCTAGTGAAGGCACTGGACTGATGCCACACAGGGGCTTCACATCCTACAGAGCCACTTGCTGGCTGGGGGTTGAAGGCCTCACATCCCAGTCTGGAGAGGTAAAGGAGAATCTTTGTTTTGTCTCTGCAGAATTTGCACACTCATTCTGTAAAAACTCAGCTAAATTTTGCTCAGGCTTATTGTAATATTGGCTCTCTCAAGACATCCAGAAATCAAATCCCAGCCAGTACACACCATGGCCACCAGTATTTAACATCTGCTCCTCGACTCACAACTTCCTCACTCACACATTGAATCCTAAATTTCCCAAAAACAGGTAAAATGAATTTGGGAGAAAATAAATACGAGAGAGATAATTTGTGATGTGGAAGTGAATCTGCCCAGGCCAAGGGTACAGAGCATCACATCTGGTGGTCAAATTCATTCACACCTATCTCTCCATATTTAAGCACATAACTGGCAGTCAGCTTTTTGTCAGTGAAATTTGTCCCAACTGATCTTTAGACTAACTTTATCATCTGTCTCAAACCAATCTTTTAGTGTTCACAATAATTAATATTCTCTTCCTCTCTCCACAGACAATGTTTTGTGTTTAGGAGATCCATCCAACTTTATGTACCAGGGAGTTAACTTGATCATTTACCTTGAGTAACTATGGTTATAATTTCCATAAATGTAGCTTCATACTTTTATATATTATAGGGCAATACTCCCCAAAGCAAAAGCATAACACTTAATACAAATTCCTCCCTTTATCTCTTTTTCTTCTTTCTTCCCTTCAACCTGCCAGTGTATCTTCTTTTGATCTTGGGGTGTGTTCCACTTGGCTCTTAAGGAGCAATCGAAACTTTTATTTTTAAGAAAAAAAAATTAGTAGTGAAGGTTAGAAGAAAACAGAGCTAAAAGCACACTTTTTTTTTCTTTCCTTATTCCACCACATTTAATTCCTGTGCCCAGGGGGCATCCAGATGCCCTTCAGCAAATGACTTCCCACGTCTTTGGGGATTTTGTCACAATTCAAAAATCCCTCCTAAACCTCCACTTCTTCCCAGTCTCACTAAGTGCTCTTCATCCACATATAGGCTATTCCTAAAGAAATCTGTTTTCATTTTAAACTTTAGAATCTGATTTTTTTCTTAATTCATAAGCTTGGGCCAAGAGGCTTACAAGGGGAGAAAATGGCTTCACTGAAATGGATAGATGGCTAGAAATAGTATACCTATATATAAAAACAAATAGAGCAACAGATTGCCCAGGGGTAAGGATCTTACAAAAATCTGGAAGTTTCCCTCCAACTGAAGATGGCTTCTGGCTGTTTGTCCCTGGAGATGGGTTCCAGATGTGTGAACTCAGAGGCCCTTATGGTTCTGATTATATAGTGATCAAAGGTACTGGGTGGGGAGACTGCTTCCAAAAATCCCCAATCCTGGCAGAGATATGGAAACTAAGGACACTGCTCTTGGACAAACAAAGAAAGTCATTCACCTTTTCCCTGGGCACAACTGTGTCAAATATTAACCCACTGGGAGGCAAAGTTTGATATCAATAAGCATGGGTCCCAAAGCCACCCTTTTTCTGATGTCTGTGGTTCTCACTCTTGCCCAAGACAGGACTGAGGATTCCTTGTTCACATATAACGATCTGGTCCAGAAGATGTTATTTCTGATCTATGTGCCAGCTCCAAGAACCGCCATGGAAAAGTCTGCAGAGTAAACGGGGACTCCCAGAAGGATGCGGTTCCTTCTCACCTTCTAATTACCCACATAATGTGGTTCATGAAAGGATGCCATGCCAATAAGTAGGTTATCCCACATATTTCACAGAACCAGGAAACCACTTCTAAAGAAGGTTGTACGACAGCTATTAGTACCCACTGCCCCTGGCCTCAACCTCCCAGCGGTTAACCTTCAGAAATATCTTTGCCATATTTCCTGGGTTTCTCCTTTTCATCCTCAGCTGTTCACAAGAGACTAACCCTGAGCATTCAATCTTCTATTCCTTGTAGGAAAACTCATTATCTTCACTATCACTGAAACACTGATAACCATCACTCCTTTGATGGTTAATTGATCTTATTGTCTCTCTATTAGATAGAACCCTTTGAGAGAAGAATCATTGTCTTATTCATCTCTAAAGTCTTAGTTTCTAAAACAGTGACTGACAGCTAGGCTCCAAGTTTTTTTTTCTTATCCCTCAAGGTCTAGGATTGCATTCTTTGATCTCACTTTGGAAACCTAACTATGCAAACTCTCCTGACTTCTTTTTAAGACTCACCAACACAGTTGGGTTTGGTAGTGGTTACCAATAAAAGCAGGTAGAGTAGAAAGGCTTCCAAGGGTCCCAGAAAAGCTCTGCTTCTAGATTACTGATAAATCCTTAAAACTCACTGATATACCTTCATTTTTGAGGTGTTGGTCCCCATCCCAATTCAACCTCTCCTAGGAGAGATTAACTACTTAAACAGCTGTCAGTGAGTTGCATATGCTTGGGCATGTGCTCTAGAGCCTACCTGAAGAAGTTTTTTGGTAACTGGAAGGGCCTGAGAATTTAAGGTGGAAGAAAAGTGCGTGAGGCAAGTTAGTAAAAAGCTAGGAAAATTCCCTGGTAAGTGGAATGAGGGAAACAAAATATGGACACAAAATAGTTAAACAAACGGCCGAGCAATTAACAGCCAGCTAATAAATCACAAGACCCTATCCTTCCTAACCAAGGATACTTAGGAGCAGATGGTTTACATTTCTCCTCCCCAACCAGACAGGGAGTAGCAATCCCCCTAGTCAGAGAGACAGATAACAGAGACCTAGTTAATGACATTAGTGTCAGTGAAAGCCAAGAACTGATAAAGTCAGGAGAGTAAGTAACAAAAATCCCAATTAAAGCCAGATAAATCCGAGATAAAGCTGACCAGGAAATGATCCCAAACTGCACTATATGTTCATTTTGATACATCAGCATGTTAAAAGACACACCTAAAATGCCAATGAATATTCTGGTTGATACCTCCCCTAAAATTGCCGCCTACAGAAAACAGATAAAACCCTCTAGACAAAGGATCCAGTACACAACCCTCTTTGAGCACATCTGGCCTCCCTTTCCTTAAGCATGTAATTTTCTTTCTTCTAAACTCTGAGGGCTCTTGCCTGACTTTCCAGTGAGCCAAAAGCAGCCCTGCCTTGGCTCACTTCCGTTATTCTGATCTTGCTTCTTCTATCTTAAGCCCTTCCTCCTTTGTTTCACTGTTCCAAACTTTAATAAACATACCCTCAAAATCACCTGGACTTGTATCTTGAATTTTTTCCTGCACAAAGTCAAAACCTATACATCCCAGACCATGACAGGGCAGACCTGCCTTGGCCTAGTCCCGGTCCCTTTCTGGTGACAATGGGGAGCATGGACAGCCCTCCAAAACATAAACTTCACCTACTTTTCAGTTGTGTTGGGACACAGTCCCTGCCTGAGCGTTATTCCCAATTCTATCCGCGCCCCGCCGCCCCCCCCCCCCCCGCGCCCTCCCCGCTTCTCTCTTCTTCCCTCCCTCCTTCCCGGTATCCAGAGCCAAATCCTGAGCTAAAAGGAAAAATGTTGGGGGTAGTCGGGCCCAAGCAAACTGCCGTAAACTGCCTCTCCCTTTGTACCTGGTACCTCAGGGTTATTGAAGTCCCTGGAAAGGAAAGGGACAGGCACTTCTCTGACCAGTACATTTGTTCTGCCAAACCCCAAAGTGCAATGTCTTTTAAGAACAAACAGAAGAAATACGACATGGGGTCCCCAGAGTGGAGCCTCCACTGACATCTGGCAGAGTACCCAAATGCTCACTTTCCTTTCACAGGCAGACAAGCTCTTTGAGAGTGGTACCTATTTTAAATTAATCACATAGCACTTTTTAAAGAGACACTGAAGAAGTGAGCTCTAAAAACCTTATCCACCAGTCATTTGTTAGGGAAAATGGCTGCCAGGCCCATTACCACACCCTGATTGCCGTAGCAGTCCAGGAAGACTGAATCAGTAGTGGTCAACTCCCACAGGCTTTGGGGATCAATATGACTTGATCAGCATGACCCTCCTCTGGTAAATTGCCTAACAAGAGAGATAAGGTACTCCACTCTAACATCACACACACACTCACACACACACAGTCCCATGGCCTGAAACACTGGTGTAAGCACCAACTCACACAAACAGATCAGCCTCGGATTTTAGAGTTATGCAGTGATGCTGGGGAGCAGCCTCCAGTCTCTGAACACAGCCATGTCCCTCCTCTGCCTCTGTGGTTTCACTGAACAGCCTTGGGAGAATTCACAACCTGCCTACAAAGTTGACAATGCAGAGTCAGGAGAATGGTGAACGGTTGCTTACATTCTAATTGTTTTTATTTTCAGCTTGGCACAATGACGTTATGATTAAACAGAAAATAAGGTTTTGGAGGAAAAAGTTTTACAATTAAAATGCACCTCAGTGCTTACTCATTTGTGTTTCAACACACAAGAAATTATAGTCTATGACTACTGAACATTATATATTTGTAAGTAATTTTAATAGCTGTGAAGCAACTGCCAATTAAAAAATATATATTGAAAAAGTAATCTGAAAGCTTGAACCTGAAAGTTATTCCCCTTTTTCTAAATGTTTTTTTATGTCTTTTCTTCAAGCCAATAGTTTCCCTGCACATAGACATGGGATACTTGGGTTCTCCTTCAAAGGACTCTCGTGCTGGTGTACTTTCCCCCTTTATACAGAGTACATATGTTTAATTCTGTCCTTAAGATTAATTATAAGATTGGGTAATGGAGGGAAGGGGTTAATCTCTAAATTTCTTTATAATTCTTACATTGTTTTGTTTTATAAGCATGAAACTTATTTAATAACAGAAGTAGTGGTTAAAAGATGATGTAGTTCACGTGAAAAGAAGGATCACGCCTCCACTTCCAGGAAGGGGAAACAGTATTTATAGAGGGAGAATGAGGACAAAGACCTGCTGACATGGCTCTATTTCCAAACAAACAAAAATTAATCATTCACTTTTGAACAAACGCTGGGCTTTGTGCCCATTCTCTCTCTTTCCCAGATATTTTAAAGTGTTCTTCTGAAAATAACCGTTTAGAGAGATTGCTTTTTGCTCAAATAACATATAACAAAAACTCCTAAAGAGGATTTTTGCCAGGCTGCTTTGGTCCACTTTCTTAGCCACCCACTTCATGAATCACACTGCTAAATGCTTCCAACAATAACTTGACAAGCCTCTTACCTTTGCCTGCTTATAACCTGACATCTGCACTTTCGACAAAAGCTAAAGACAGTCCTCTTTTCCTGGAATGGATTTTTTTTCTTAAGGTTTTATTTATTTATTTTTAGAGAGGGGAAGAGAGGGAGAGGGAAAGAAACATCAATGTGTGGTTGCCTCTCAAGGGCCCTCTGCTAGGGACCCGGTACACAACCCAGGCATGTATTCTGACTGGGAATCTAACTGGCGACAACCCTTTGGTTCTCAGGCTGGTGCTCAGTCCTCTGAGACACACCAGCCAAGGCTGCTATGGATTTTCCTATCCTCTTTGCCAAATCATTGTTCTTCTCATTACTGGAGTACCTTCCTTTTCTTTTTTTTTTATGAGTCCGGATACAATACCTGGCCACTCCATCCTGTTACAGAATAAGAAACAGCCCTGTCAGGTGTGTCTCAGGTGGTTGGAACACGGCCCTGTAAACCAAAGGGTTGCAGGTTCAATTCCAGCTGGGGCACATGCCTAGATGTGAGTCCCAATACCAGGTGATACCAGGTGCGAGCCAGAAGCAACCAAGTGATGTTTCTGTCTCTCTCTCTCTACCTCCCTTTCCACTCTCTTGGGAGGGTATAAAACACACACACACACACACACACACACACACACAGAGGGAGAGGGACCTCAGAGACCATCTGTTAACTCCTCATTTTACAGATGAGTAAACTGAGGAACAGAGGAAGAGAACATGTATCGCCCAAGGAACATCCAGCATTCCTCGGAGTAGAAGCTTTCCAATGCGCTACACAGCTCTCATATTTTATGCTAGTAATTTCTAGAAAATCAAAGTTAATTTTAAAGGTGCCTGTGAAAGTTTAAAGGAAACCTACTTTGAATATTTCCATAAATTCCAAAAATATTTTACTCCTCCTTTACCTGTAAAAAAAATATATAGTTGATTGAAATAAAGCATAACACAATTATCATTCTGCACTAACTAGTTAGTAGCTGTGTAGTTAAGTAGCTCTTTGAATACCTGAGGTTGCTTTGGAAAGTTGACCGCCTGATGGTGTTCAGATAATTATACCATGGTTTCTAGTAATTACATTTATGACTCGAGTGTAACGTTATTAAAAACACAAAAGGAGGGCCTTGGCTAATTTAAGATTTTCTTAGTCCCCACAATGGCGCTGAGACTGTTTTTAATGTCTGGAAACAAAGATGTCCTGTTGTGCTCATATGCTGTTATAATTTGATGTGTCGTCTCAGAATGAGAAAGCTGAGGATTCCAATGTTCCAGTAAGAAAGCTTAAAGAAAAGGCTGTGGGCAGTGTCTCCAAGAATTTCACAGCACTGGCTGTGCACGAGTTGTGGGTGGGTTAAAGGTGAGGAGACAGAGGTGATTGAACAGAAAATGAAAACACCAGTCCCCAAATGTCATTTCCACTTGCAAAAACTGAACAAGGCCTGCTTCATAAATCTGGGAATCAGCCTGAGTACCAAGCAAAAATCCTTAGTTTGAACAAGTGCGCCGGGCCTCTCTGGACCTCGGTTGGTTTCGGCGACGCGGTGGCCCCCTCTAATTCTACGTTCTAGGCAATAGGCATTTGTGTTGCCATCTGTGCCCAGTTGCGGGAAGTAAACATGACTGGGAATGTAAAGTCGCTAACTTGACTACATTTTTACCTTCCTTCCCATTCCTCAGCTCCTCCAGTCCTGTTCCGCACACTTCTCCCGAAGGAGACACTCAATACCTCTGCTAGGAAGGGACTCCCCGGCCAAAGCGCCCCTGGTAAGGTTACGGATGTGGAGGAGGAGAAGCAACAGAAGTATGAACCCATCAGCACCTTGGAACAAAACTGCAGAAAAGCGCAGAACAGTGGAAAGAGAAGTTTTTGTTTCTCACCCGCTTCTTCTTCCTTTGTATGATGATGGAGAGAGGTGGTAGAAAACGCAAAGATGTTGTTTTGACTCCTGCTTTGGATCTGCGTGGGGTGAGCGTCCGTGTGTCTGTACGCGGACGGGATAGGGGTGCAGCGAGGAGGAGTCAGAGGGCGAGCCCTAGGGTAGTTAGGACCGCGCCCTGTTTCTCGGAGGAGGTCCCTTAAGGCCCGATCCCGCCTCTTGAGCTCGGCCCGGGCAGCTCCCGCCCCGCGCGCAGCCGGAGCGTCCCTGTCCCGCCCAGGAGAGACCCTGGAGACCTGAGTTACAGACGCACACACCTGCGACGGCGCGGCCTGCTCCGACCTCAGAACGCGGGACACCCTCCTCAGTTCCCAGAAGCTTAAGACCCTGGCCCCCGCGCGCAGGAGTGAGGGAGCCCCTGCGGTCTTGAAAGTCAGGCAAGTTCGTCTCTCTCAAGTCCTGAACCCCCGTCTTCCTTGCGTTGCAGAACACTTCGGAACATGACAAAGTCTATATGGAACAGAACTTTTTTCAGTGGTTCCTAAATGAGGAAAAACAAAGAAACAAAGTAATTAAAACACTCGGGCTCGTCCGGGATTTGAACCCGGGACCTCTCGCACCCAAAGCGAGAATCATACCCCTAGACCAACGAGCCACAACGAAAGATTCTTTGCCTCTATTTCTTCTGAATTTCTTTTTTCCTCCAAGCTACTCTGGCTTCCACCCCCCACCCCGCTCCCCGCCGTGACTGTTACTTTTTTCCCTAGTTAATTTCTATTCCCATCCTCATGGAGTCTCACGTCTAATTCTGGCCCTGTCCTTGTCTATCGTCCCTGATCCACATCCAGGACCTTTTCAGACTCCAGGTGGGATGACGAGAGGCGGCCTTTCAGACTTAGGCCACGTTTCTGAGTTCCACCGAGCCCCTCCGGGACGCGTCTAGCCGCGAGCTCGAGTCTGGAGGGAAACGGGCTGGAGCCTGAGGGCCCGAGCAGAGCTCTGTTGCAAGGCTGTAGGGTCCTGAGCCCCAGGACAAACACATGGAAGTGTATCTATTCCGCTGCTACCACCTCGCGCGGACATAAAATCCTAAAGACAAGACTGATGTGGGCCTCAAAATACGGGAGCAGGAGCCGGTCTGGCGGTGCACCAGAGCGGCGTGCGCTGGGACACTCCAGGCCCATCGCAGTTCCCCTGAATAGGGAGTTAAGTTCTCTCCACCTTTGCATAAATAGTTTCCTCGCTTCGGAATTCTCTCTCCCAGTCTCATCCCTATTCACGTCAAATCCTTGTACTCTTTCCTGCTGCCGCTCTAAATCTTTTCATGGAACGATAAAAATATATAAACGGCTAGATAAATTAAAAGTCCTTCTTTCTCCAAGGATGTGTGCGTATAATGGGGTCAGACACTCGGGCTGAAGGTCACAGTTAAGGGGGTTCGTTCCGCAAATTAATGTCCCGAAGGTGGCAGAGCACATGCATACATCTTTACAATATTCCACACCAACAAGTGGTTTTGGGCCTCCGACATCTGGTGCTCAGGCAGCAACCTATGATCAACCAGCTCAGAAAACAAAGGACATCTTACAGCAGAAGCCTCAGAACGTTTGCAGCTGGTGAGTTTAATTATGACTTAGTACATTCTCCTTACTGCGTAACGAACACCCCAAATACCTTCCATTTTTCAAGACGTGATACGTGAATGGGCTTGGGTCAGGGCTAAGGTAGGTATACACTGTAGAAAGCTAGTCCAGAAGATAAAGAACGGCACAAACTGAGGAGCGGCTAACCCAAAATAGCAGCTTCTCCTTCGAGCCGGAATCGAACCAGCGACCTAAGGATGACTGGAAGAGGAAACCACTACAGTCCTCCGCTCTACCAGCTGAGCTATCGAAGGAAGCTCGACTATCTTACTTCTAGAATTCCCTATTCAGGACAGGGATAAACGGAGGTGCTTGCGACAGGATTTTACGGTTACTGTGAGAATGTCCTGCACCCACAATTTAGGGGACAACCCTCCTAGAGCTGGATTCTCCTGCTTCACTGAGGGGCTTTCAAACAGGGCCAACTCGTGCTCTTCACAGGCGCCGCCAGAGCCTATGCATCCCGAGGCCTCCGCGAAGAAGCCGGGGAGGGAGCCTGCTCGCCCCGGAGGCTGCGGGTTCCACATAGCGCGCGGGCCCGGGGCCTCCCTGGCATGATGTGTGTGTCTGGAGTGGGAGCGGCCGTTTGGGTATCGGGGAACTAGGGATTGAGGCGGTGGAAAACATAATTCTTACCGCGCTACTCCGAGCCAGGGAGAGGGGCGCGGGCCTCATCCTCATTTCCTCACTTCCTACCCTCGGCTTGGAAGCCGGGCGCGAGGGCACAGGCCAGCGGCAGCTCTTCTCCGCTTACATGTTTGCAGACTCGGGGGCGGAGAGGGTGTGGAATTCAAAATACACGGGTAAGCCCTCCCCGCTGGGGTTAGGCGACCCCCCAAGGTTCTCGCCACAGTTTATAATGGACTCCGCCACAACACAGGGAAAGCAGCACTTGCGCCCCGGCACGAGAACTGAAGAGGAAGCTCTGTACAGCGGTGTTTATTCCAGAGATCTGGAATGCGGCGAGAGGACGCAAAGAGGCGAATTACCTGCGGGGGTTAAAGTTATCGGAGAAAGGGGGTGGCAATGAGGAGAATTAAAAACAGTGCTGAACATGCAACAGGCCCCAGCGAGATTTGAACTCGCGACCCCTGGTTTACAAGACCAGTGCTCTAACCCCTGAGCTATAGGGCCTCGCGCTTACAGTGTTTCGTTATCACTAGTAAAGGAAGATTTTTATACTGCGTCTTCACTAGAATATTTGAGTTTGGGAAGCAAATAAAACTTGAATGTCGTTTCAATTTGTTTCCGAAATATTGGAATTCTGTTTGCAGGCTCTTGCTGGGGATAGCGCTGTATGGGGGTCAGTGACAGAGACAGCCACTATTTAAAGGCTAGAGAAATGTGCCAACCCAACACAGTCTAACACAGTGACTAACCGCCTCCCCGGCCAGCTACAGATTGTCAAGATTAAGAAGGGAAATGCCACAGAGAGAAAAAGTTGTCTACCACGGGGCTCTTACACTGACACTTCGTTATCTACACTCGGTTTTCGACTTGACTCAAGACATCCACCGACCTGCAACCGACAGCTTTAAGTTCTTTAGATGTAGAGACTTTTTTCACAGCTCGAGTCTCAGCGTCAGAACAGGCATTCATTAACTTGCTATTTAATTCATTTCTTCATTCAACAAACACTGAATTCCAAGTTTGCACTAGGCTCTGAACTAAGAACAAGGTATCCAGATATGGTCTTTACCTTGAAGTCACTGTCGTAGTTTTATGGAATAAAAGAACTTTAGTTTTCATGAAACAGAATAATAAAAAGTAGGTGTGCAGGTGTAATAGGGCAGTGGAGACTGCCAAGGTTCACAAACTTGCAGGGTGAGCCATCGCAGATGCAGGCCTGCTGGAGGAGATGGACTTGAGCAACACTCTGAAGGGAGATTAAGGCACAGGTTTGGGGACGAGGTGATCTCTGGTAGAAAAGTTGGGAGGAAAGTCCGAGGCAGACTTCGGAGGTGTTTAAAGGACCACAGCAGAGCACTGCCGTCCTGAAAGTAGAGGAAGGTAAAAGAAGACAGGTTAGTAGGAGACAAAGATATTTCTGGAATGAAGTTTTGCCATGTGAAAAATTGAAAATGGGAACTCACTAGGTATGGATATGCAGGATGAATCGAAGAGAGGAGAAACTAGAGTCAAGGGAACACCAGAGGTTGGCGGTGGTGCAAATGCTCCAACATAAAATTTCAAGAGGATAACATTTATACACCCGGAAGGGGAAAAAATGAATGAAAGAGATACAGGGAAGACAGATTCTGCTGAAGTTAGATATGAAGAGGAAATAAGACACATTAAAGAGGCGAGAGTCAGGGAGGACTCTAATATACCCTGAAGAAGCAAGATGAGAGTTGCAGGAAAAAAAGTCTAAAGGAGAGATGAGTATCTGGAGAGGGCAAAGGGGCGGTAGGATTTAAATGGGCTGAATTTGAGGTGAGGAGGGAGGAGTCTATGAGAATTGTACAATAGCTAGAATACTCTTCTGTCTAGAGTTACATAGACTGATAGGTCAAAGTTAGCTCAAATTACATAGAGCAGTGATTTTTGACCTTTTTCATCTCATCGTGGCACACCAAAAAATTTTTGTTTTCTGATCTGACAAAAAAATTAGATATAATTTTGACTCGTTCATACAAACACTTATTGTGTTGACTGTTTGTGTGTGTGTGTGTGTTTAACTTTTCTGTTTTACAGTCTAAGGGAAAAGAGATCAGTGCCCCTGACTACATAGTCAGGTATTGCATGTTTTAAAACTTCTTGTGGCACATGGGTTGAAATCATTGACATGGATCTTCCATTGAGTTAGAGCTAAGAGTTATGTGCTCTTGAAGAAAGAACGCACAAAGAGAAAACGGCAGAGGTATGAATAGGAGCATTCTGAATAGCTCTGCTGCATGCATTTGTTATATGACTGGGTGTTTAACACTTTTTAAACATCTTCCTTACAATTGGTAATTTCACATATTATAAGTAAGTCTGTCCTAGAAAATTTGCTTTCCCAACTGGCAGCTGAGAGTGAGCATGTGACTTAGGTTCCAACAATCAGATGCATCCAGGGAAGATTTCAATTTAGAAGTGCAAAAAAGGAGTAAATGATCCTATAGGGAAATAACGTTTTTCCAATGGTCAAAGTGTTAGATTCTTGGGTATGGGATTTCTTAAATCTATAGATTGTTGTCTTTCTTCAGTTCTGGAAAATTCTCAAGCATTATCTTTTCACATGTTGTTTTTGTCCTTTTTCTCCTCTCCACTTATAAAGCTGAAATCAAACATCTTAGACCTTTACAAATTGTCCTCTATTTTTCAACCTCTTTTCTGTATTTTCTGCCTTTTTGTCTTTCTGTGTTACATTCTGAATTACATGCTCTTACTCATAATCCACTCATTCTTTCTACAGCTGTGTTTAATCAGTTATTAAATCTATCCACTGAGTCAATTATAAATTGT